GAAAATGCAGAAGGAAGAACTTAGAATTGTTTTCATTAAACATGGCCCTGCTTATGAACATGAGTGTATATAAAGGACTGGATTAAAGAACAAGGAAGTAGGAGAATCCACTCAGAAAGGTTTAGCTGCCATACCTAGCAGAATTGCATAATTTTTTTTTTCCAGATTCCCTTCTAGGCTTTTTGGGATAAAATAACAGGGCTAAAAGCAAACACAAACAAACAACAATAGAAACAAAAACAGCTAATCATGGTCACTCTTTAAGTTATATTTAATTGCTATGTCTAAGAATATTTGAAAGCCCATGTTTAAATATCTTGGTACTTAAAAATGTTTACAGGGAAGCCATAAGGTATTAAACTTTAAGATTTAGAAAAATTTGATGAACATCACCTATCAATCGCATTATATCAAAGAAAGCAGATGCCTTCTACAAACATCAACCTAAACAAGCAAGACATCTTGGTTTACATGTTAACAGCACCTTGCTGTCAAAGCAAGCTTTCTGTCAATTTTAAAGAATTGCACCAACTTCTCTCTCCACTTGAACCCTTTTGTCTTTGCGAGATCTTAGAATTCTGATTATATTTACTTGATAGAAGTGGTAGGGAGGTCCTGGATAGATAAGAACTCCCCCTTTATTACTTTGTCCTGGAAAACAGAACAAAAATAGGTCAGTTCTTAAGGAAATTATGGTTGCCTGTATAAATAATGTAAACATTCCTATCACTCTCCCAGGGAGGACATTTATCACCGTTTATCACGAAGACAGCCACAGACACCCAGATCTGGCCCCCCACTTAAAGCTCTCAAATTTTGAATTGTCAGTCGGAAATGTGATTATTATCAGTTAAAAATAACCAGGAACGGTGGCAATGATTTAACTTGTTTGACTTTCTTAAGCTAACAATTAACATTTTAGACTATTGTTGACAAAATATTTAACTTTCCCATGCCATTTGTATAAAAGACTTTTCTAAATTTCCTTAGACGCTCCAGGGGACACACCTTTCCAAAGCTTCTTGGGTCCGTGCAAAGGCCTTTAAAGCACATGCATTCAGAGACTCCAGAGACTCTCACAGCATTGCACACTTTAACTAGGATTTCCTGGGACCTTCAGGAACACTTAAGTACACTGATATCGGTCTTATCTTGACAGCACTAAATTTGAAATACCAATCCCTAAATTTGAAATACCAATCCCTCTATTTACAACAAAAGCTATTTCACCATTTAAAACAGACAACTGAAAGCTGAGTATATGTTTAATCCCTAGAAAAACTGGTATTATCATTCGTTGTTAGTAGTTTATTATTAGTAATACTAGTAATGAGGCCTTGCATTTCTGCAGTGTTTTATTTTTCCCAAAGCCTATTCAAAAACACACGTCCATTCGCTTCTCTCAACAAGCTAGGGCAGCACGATTGTTCTCCATTTCACGCATGTCTGCCAAGTAACTTGTCCTAGGTCACCCAGATGGTTAGGCGCCTGGTCTGATCTGCTTTCTTCCTCCACACCGCATTAGAGAAAAGGTAATCTCTGAAGCCAACATGACTTGGAACCACTTATCTACTCATCCTAGCAACACAATCTATGCAACAGAAAAAGAGCTTGTCTCAGGCAAAAGGGAAAGATTAATAATGTATCACAGAAGCTCTAAACCTTACTGTTTCCTGGACCAGCAATTATTCAGTTTCACAGTTCATTCAAAGATTCAAACATACTTCACCAGAAAATGATTTAGTGCCTAAAGCCTGCTCCAAGTGGTTAGAAATGTAGATCTGCTTAAAGCCCTACAATCTGGATCATCTGAAAGGCCCTGTTCCCGCAGTCTCTGCAGCAGTGGGGCTTCCCCTGAACTTGTACTTGAGCTAAATGAAGAAACTGGCTGAGTAAGGGCTGCAGAATTAGGCTCTCAATGTGGACAGAATTAGAACTGCCTTGGAGGTTATTCTTGCATTGTTCTTGAAACCTAGGGTATTGAAAGGATTCAGACACTATTCCTTGCAGTATAACATGCCTCAAAGTCAACACTATCCCACCAAACAGAATTTGTCCTTACACCCTCATTCAGCAAATATTACCCACTCTATACAAGTCATTATACTAGAAGGCACATGGGACACAGAGCTTTCATCTGAGGAAACAGCACATATTTGATTTTAGATGATCAATATTCTCTCCCTTTCTCCAAAGGACATTTATGGCCACTTATGACATACAAATTAACTATTAAAGTGATACATTCAACACACCAAGACCACATAAATCTGGTTATGGACACAGTAGCGATAAAATTAGGAGTGAATTCTGACATTCATTTGCAGCAAAGACCCTTTTAAATTAACAGTGACTCTGAAAATAAGAGAAGCCCGAGTGAAGTGAGACCTGCGATGTAGTGGGCTTGGTGAATCAAGCCCAGATGTGAAGTTTCCCTTCAGACACAGTGTTATCAGGTTAATACAGCACCTGCCTCACCATCTCTGAGTACCATGCTGAGTAACAAAGAGCCAAATTTAGAAGCTAAAATGGAGAGGGAATTTCCAATAACCAAAAGGAGGTGGGGGTCAACCCTTGCAAGGCCACACAGTTTCAATGAAAAGCAACCATTAGAAATAAACTATCTGTTCCCTTCTAACATACACTGTACCTCTTCCCATCATCACCGCACTCGGAGAAGGAGCTCCACTAAAGGAATGTTTTAGGAGGTAGTTGGTGGTCAGAAGAGAGAAAACAGATCCCGTCTTAGAACAGGGGTAGCACCGCAGTCCCCTTTGGCTTCAGCGGCAGTAAGTCTTCAGTGTTCCCTCCCTCCCCTCCCAGCGTGGATATTGCCATTGCAAAGTTATAGTCACCACTGAAGTTGGTTTCATTTCACATTGCCAAATGCTCAAGCAAAAGAAGCAGCCTCATCTTTCTTCCAAGCTGGACAAAAGCAAACACCAAAAAAACAAGGCCATAGGCAGACATGCCACCTTCCTTGCAGAGGCTGGGATGTGAAGGCCATGGAAAAAGCCCCCACTGTGGCCCTTTTCTGGCCCTTCAGTCTTGGAACCCAGGGCAGAGATCAGTCTTCTCCTCTCGGGGTTGGGCTGGGTGCCTTGCTCTCAGTATCATCCCCAGAAACACTTACCAGGAAACTGTGACGCTCACAAAGCCGTATTATGGGGAGACTTGCAGACAGATTATAAATTTACTGGGGACAATCAAGGCATTTAGATACTTTTGGCTGTAGATACTGGTGACACACACATACATACAAACCTCATTCTTCTCTCCATTGGAGCAATTCTTTACTCATCCCCTCCCCCCCTTCACCCTAGCATCTCTCTTTCACAAAACAAACTCCCACTGCCTTCCTAGGGAATTCCAGAGAGAAGTAGGGATAGAGCAAGTGGAGGAGAAAGGAAATTAGGCTTTAAAGCTCCAATATAACCCCACAAACACATTGTGTTCAAGGATAAACTGTAGACACTGGGCAGTGTAACTGTTAGCAGTTAGTTTTAACCTGGAGCTGGCAGCAAAAAGTCACAGTTCTAAGGCATCCCAAGCAAATCTGTGTTCAGTGGGGGAGAGGAGCACCATCCTTGACCCCAGAGCTTCCTGGAAACTTCCTCACCATGGACCCAGGTCAGGGATCAGGGGAGCCAGAAAGAAGCATCCTATGGGCCTGACTGAAGGATGTACTCTTTCTAGAAATCATCTTCAAGCCCCTTTGAAGGAGGAGTTAGACATGGTACCAGCCTCTCCTTTGGGCTTTTTGAGTACTTTTGGGCTTGCATGGCCATTTTCTGTTGTAGACTGTCATTAGGGCTGGTTTGTCCCTTTGAAGGAGGAGTTAGACATGGTACCAGCCTCTCCTTTGGGCTTTTTGAGTACTTTTGAGCTTGCATGGCCATTTTCTGTTGTAGACTGTCATTAGGGCTGGTTTGGGTGAACTAGAGCTGTGCTCCAAGCAGGCACAGAACTGCAGGAGTCCCACAGAACCTAGAAAGGGAGGGAGTGTGCGGGGCTGCAGGGCAGGGTTCCACCTTCTACCCAGAGGCCACTGGCCAGCAACTGTGGGGAAAGCCTGCACACTGCAGGCAGGCACCTAACCAGGACTGGCACCAAGAATCAATGATTCAAGGGATATTCCTCTGGGATGGAGTGTGTCTGTGTCTCTGAGGAAGAACTTCCAGCCAGAGTCTTAATCAGAATTTTCAGGTTTGATATCCTTTCACCAGGAGTGGCTGAAGACAAGGTACTTCCTAGGAAGATAGCTGTGTAAATAGCTACTTTGAGCCTGCCCACTTGAATGAATGCTCTAATTTAGCACTACTTGATTGGAGTGCCTAGGAAAGGAAGCTAGATGGGGGTGAGGAGGTAGCAGAGTCTACAGGAAATCAGGAAGTAGGTTTCTTAAGAAACATTCCTCCACTAGTCTATCTTTGGGATATATTCCTCAAATTTTGTTTTTCCCTGAGTGTCCACTCAGGGAAATTGCTCTGTGTTACAGATCACCATTTATGTTCTCTTAACCCAAGGAGAAGGGCCACTTCAAAGGAGGGAGAGGAAATGGGGCAAGAAGGAAAAGCTTTGATAAAGGTCAGCTGGGCTGATAAATGCTCTCAGACTGAAGAATGGCTTGCTGGGCCTAATTAGAGCTAGCCAAAGCAGAAGGATCCTTGAGACAGGGCCTTCTTCAGTGGCTGAGATCTTGTCAGCTTGTGCAGCCTCTTCTTTTACAAGCTGTGGACCCCAGAGAGCCTCTGGAAAACTCAGACTTCTTATCAGTTAAGGAATGCCCTTTAAGTGGAGGAAAACCAATAAATGAGGTTACCCAGAAGAACTTGATGGGTAAGAGTATAAAACCACTCAAACAATACATCCAGTGGCCTTTGAGGTAGTCAGGTGACATCTTGGCCTTTTCTACTGCCATCCATTCTACATTAGGCCAAGGCAACCTCTACCCTCCCAAAAGGCCACAGCCAGAATCATGAGAAAACCAGGTGCCTTACCGCAATCAGGGTTGAGTTCCTCTGGTCTCCAGGGGTTGAAGCTGGTGGCTGCTGCTCTCCGTTTATCCCACCACCGCCACCATTATTGCTACTGTTCAGTAGGTGCTGCTGGTGGTGATGGTGATAGTCTGGTGGGGGTGGTGGGGCTGCTGCTGTTGCTGCTGCTTGAGCGGCTGTAGGAGGGGCAGCAGGGGTCAGCGGAGGGGCTGTAGTGGTGGCTGCAGTGGCGGTGGCCTTGGTGTGTTTGCCAGCCTTCCTTGCCCCTTGGCCATGCTGTACAAGGCTCAGGAGCTGCAAGGTGCTCTCTCTTTCCCGGTCTGAGCTCTCAGCCCTACCACGTTCATAGCGTCCTTCACAGCTCAGGTGGTGCTGGCGGCAGACGGCGATGCGAGCCCGGAGGCGCTCCACGATAGCACTGTGCACTCTAGGGGTGACTGAGCCCCCTCCAAGGAGCCCCGCCCCAGAGGCCCCCCCCAGCCCTCCTGCGGGGGCCTGCGGGGGCGCTGTGTCCCCCATCTTACCGGACACAATGATTCCTGCCTCTGGGATGGTGATATGGAAAGAGGCTCCTTTAGGCTATCGCAGGCAAATCTGTTTTTGACAATGTGAGCTCAGTGTTCAGGGCCACATGAATAGAGGTCTTCAGAGGTTGTGGGGAGCGGTGGGGAAGGTGGGGGGGAGGGGAGTTAGTAAAAAGAGGGTGGGGGAAAAAGAATAGAAACCAATTGGAGAGGATAAGTTGGAAACAAACCCTGATCAACTTACTCTAATTGCATTTGACAGCTCTGGAGAAGTTGGACAGAGTTGGTGGATTTTTCCCCCACCAAGCTGACAAGAGCCACTAGGTACTTTGTAAACACACGATCTGGGGTTAGATTAAGAAATCAGATTAAGAAATCAGGGATTGTCCAGCAAGAGACAGAATCACACAGCAAAAGGAATTGAGAGAGGTATTAATAGAGAGCTGGACTCCCCCTCACCTAGTTGTTTTGGAAAATTCTTTATGGGGATGTTTCTGTAGAGAAACACATTTCTACCGTGGTCTATGAAACCTTTACTTTTTCTCACGTTAAAAAATATATATAAAAAACCAGTGCTTCTTCAGAAGGTCTTTGAAGTCAATGTTCAAAATGTGCAAAAACCAAGGGAGACTGTCTTTCGGATTTTAGAATTATTTTTCCTCCCTTTCCCTTTGCTCCGGTGTTTTCTCCTCTTTGGGGTTTTGTAGGATGTTGCCTTCTCCCAAAAGACGGAGACAGCTTTTCAATTGTTAACAATGTCAGTAATTGGACTTTTGGACCATGCTTTTTTCTTCAGCTAATCCAATCACTGGTAAAACCTCATTCCCTCTAAGGTTTCCTAGCCTTAAATGAAAGCAGTCTGAAGTCGCTAGCCACTGAGCGAGATCCTTCAACACATTTTTTCCTTCCCGCTTACGTTTCTATTCCTCATCCCCGGCTCTATTCTAATACAATATCAAGAGAAACTCTTCCGAGAGTAATTTACAAACGATGGTCAAACTTACAAACTTCCAGCAAATTGCACCGAGCCATGTCCAGCCACTTTTCTGTCCACTTTTGTACATTCCATCCCCGGCCAGTGGATCTGAGGGTCTGGACTCGCAATAAGCAATGTGGTTCTATCTCTTGTATTGCTCCGCTTTATAGATGGAAAAAAAAAAAAAAGTAGCTTGTATTTTCCTTTCTCTTTCTCGTCTGTTGTTAGCCGCTTTGCTGACACTGGCTCCCGCCCGGAGTCACGGCGACACACAGGCTTTCATTGTGCTCCGATAGGAGAGGGAGAGAAAGAGAGAGAGAGAGTGAGACAGAGAGCGAGAGAGAGCGAGCCAGCGAGCTGCAGATGGGGGCGGGGGCGCGGGTGGCGGGGGCGGGC